CAGTTTCTTTTAACATTTTTGGCTAAATCAAAAAGGAGTGTCAAGAGACTAAAGGAGTCCCATGACACTACCACATTTTAGCACAGAGAAATATCAGCAAGGATTTTGACTGTGATTCTCCTGTGAAGCTCACTGCAGGACTGGGAGCTCAAACTACTTGATTGTTTTACTAAGTGCCCTGCAGGAGAGTGCCTGGGAGGTAAGGAAATAGATATGGATGAATAATCATAATATCTTTGCTTTCAATTCCATAAAGATACAGGGTGAAACTTGAGCCTAATGAACATTTTTCCAATGACTTGGATGGAGCCAGGGCTTCACCCCATCACACTGGAACTCTGTGATCTTATTGTGCACATCCCTAAATCTGGAGGGTTTTTTTCCTTAAAAAAATTCGGGGAATAGAGAGCAAATTTCTTCCTCTATATCTCAAAATAAATGTTCCTAGCTTGCAGGGCTGCAAGGGGAGGTTTAAAACCATGGCCCTAGGTTATCTACAAAGCAGAAGGCAAATGATGTCTGATTATTATTGTTTTCTTCTTTAAAATCTCATTATTTCTGTAGAAGAGTGCACTTATGACTTTTTAACCCTTGGGACTGGCAATAAATAATGCAGCTATAAGAAGTATAATGTGCCCATTATGTGCTGTAGTTTTGTGGTTGTGTCCTCAGCTGATCTTGAGTAGGTACCTCTGTGTCCTGTAAGCTAATGTTTCTGCTAATCACTCTGCTGAAACAGCCTCTCTGAGATGTCTTAGCAAACACTGCCTTACTTCATGGACAAGAGAAATATGTCTGGGACCTAGAGGGTGCTGTGAGATGTAGGTGGCAAGGACAGGGGGTCGTTGGAACTTGAGAAGAGACAACATCCCCATTGCTGTGTTTTGTGAGGAAATATTTGTTGTGAAGGTTTGTACAGAATTTACAGTTTAAATATGTGTTGGAGCAAAAACGCGATGTTCTCTGGCTTGTGGCTGGAGAGCAAAGATATAGGTGTGTGCAGCTGAGCTGCTTGCCTGGCCCCCTGCACCATCACAGCAGAGGAATTCACCTCCAATTCCAGACTGCCTGGGTATGATGTGTCACAGCCCACCCATGCCTTTGCCTCCCCATTAACTTGAAAAACAATGCCATGGGTGGCAGGGTCAGATGTTGGCTTTCAATATCTAGAGCACCAAGAATTCCCGAGGCTGGAAAATGGAGGGAGAAGTTTCAAATTCTGCTGTGGTGGTCATTAGAGAACCAGCCCAGCTATGTCCATCATGTTTTGCTGGAAACCTAGTGTGTGTTTGCCACAGGAGTGTAAATGGGATTGTGTGCTTGGCTTTTCATACTTCCAAATGATAAATATTTGGCTTTCAAGAAAAAGCTGTACCAATAATTTGTTTATTTCTCTAACTAGATGCCTAATATTTAGTCTTGCATTCATCTTAGTCACAAAAGGAACAGTGACCCGATTTCAGGGCTGTCAAAGTCTGATGGATTTTTTGTTTTGATTTTATATAATTGTAGCTTCACTATTGCATGTTTCCCATAAATTTTCAAAGGTCTTTGTCCTCCAGTTACCAGATTGGACCAGGCTGGATGAAATAGAGGATGGAGGGGCAGACTGTACTGAAATGTGCTTTAGGAGTACTTTAGAAGGAGAGCTCACTTGGGTGAGGTGCCATAAACAGAAGTGGAACAAAGAGCCTACTCCCCAGGCATCCTAGTCTCAGGGTATAATATGTGCTCTAGGAACATGAAAAGGTTAAAGTGAGGTATGGATCACAGGACCCAGCACAGGGAAGAGAGGCTGCTTCACAGAAGTGTGCAGTCATGATGGACTGAAACCCTAAAGTACTTCTGAAGGGCTAATAGCATTTCTGTAGGATTGTTTTGGTGAGTGTGTTTGTAGAAATGTGGATTTATGCATTTGTTTAAGGACTGCGTAGATCCTCGTGTTAAATAAAGGTGAAGTAAGGAGTAGAGCCTCCTTCCTGGGTGTGGCTTGCAGGCACAAGTTTTGAATGTGGTTTTTAATTTGAGAGATTAGAAAAAAGTCAGTGTGGCACAATCCATGATGTTCCTATTTTTAATTGGATTTGCAGCTCATAATTAATTTCTTAAAAAGAGGGAGATCCTGGCCCTGTGGAAGTGAGTAGGAATTTTGCCATTGCCTTCAGCAGAAGAAGATTTCATCATCTATCTTTTTAGTCTCTTTTAATCCTCTGAACAAGAGAAGAGCAGCCTAACACATGGAAAGGATCCTTCCCATTTTTCCTCCCTGCTATTGCCAGTAGTGAGGTAGGAGGACTCCCCCCTTTTTCATTCCCATGCTTTCTACATATGTGCACCTTGGCAAGACACACTTCCATTTCATCTTCATGTAAGGTGACAGCAGCCATTGAAGGAGCAGTTTGTTTTTAGTCTTCACATGCAGAGACAGGCAGGTCTCTGTTCTCCTTCCCTCTTGTGTTTTTGAGTAGCTGCAGGAGGACAGGAAATTGAACCTCTTGGAGGTCTCTGGGTCAAGGAGCTGTCTGAAGCTGACATGGCTTTAAAGGTCACTGTGCTCCTTTGCATTTACCTTGTGCACTGGCAGCCTGCTATGGCAGCGTGCAGTCTGCAGCCCTGAGAGGTACTGTCTGACATTTTGCTGAACAGGGCTTGGGTTACCCAGCAAAAACAAAACTCAGCTCAGGGCTGTGCAAGGCCAAAGCTGGAACACTTGGGAGAGGAGCCCCTGCAGCATGTAACAGAGATATGTGTCATTCTGTGGGTTCACCAGTAATCGTGCTTGGCTTTTCTGTCTCTTGTAACCTATATATACATATATATATAGCACTGTCTGTTTTTAAAGCTCTTGACAAATTTTAACAAGCCAAACTCCGCCTCTGTCCTAGTAGCCTATATAGTTTCACAGAAAGCCCAGGATGCTTTTTCTTCACCGTTCTGCTCTGTAGATGACTGTATCCTTCAGACTGGCTGTACCTGCCAGATTTGGCTGAGCAGTCACCTCTGCACTTGCTTTGGAGCATGTGTGTGGCAAATGTGCTGCAAGGCAGTTTCCCTGCCTGGCTGTCTCCACTCTGAGCTAGGCACTAGAGAGCGTCAGAGAACCAAGGAACTGCACTAGCATCGAGGCTTGTTTACTGACAGCTTTTTAAAATAATGCATGAAATATTCAGACAAACTGGTGCCCCATCACAGGCACAGGACTGAGAAATCCCTTTTTTCTGAGGAGAGCAGATGCTGTTTGACAGGTCAGGTGCAAAGGGCCTGGGGAGACTGCTGCAACTGCAGCTCCAGTGCATGGGGCCAGCACTGGCAACAGCGTTTGAAGTACAGTTGAGTAACCAGCCCAGAAACAAGACACCAGCACCTTGCTTACTAAGATTCTAACTTCTTATTTTCCTGAAGAAATCCTGTCCAAAAAATAAAGGAACAAGAGGTGAGTCTGCAGAAATGACCAAGCAGGCACATTCTAAGTGGGACAGTGTTATTGTTGGCTCAGTCCCTTGTCCTGTTGGGCATTTTCCCATGGGGGACTGTGACTCACAGCAGGGATGTCCAGGATGGCATTTCTTCATTCAGGCACTGCAGGATAAATGGATATTTTGGTGTAGTCTTGCCAGTTGCTGTCCCTTCTTCACAACTTCATCCCAATGAATCCTTTAATTGAATTACTGAGCAAAATAAACTTCTCAAAGGCTCAACTTGAGCCAGTAAAATGGCTCAACTTCATTTGAGGTCTCAGCCCATTCTGCTTTTCTGTCTGGGGCAGATGACCACTGTGCAGCAAGAAGTCTGCAGAAATAAACCAGAGAACAGCATTTTTCCAGGTATTTTGCTGCATTTTTCTTTCCCTTTTCACTTTTCTTGCTCTTTTTGCCTCTCCAGTTCATCATCATGATATACATAAGTCTCCCATATCCAGATCTCACTCTTATACTTGCTGAATAGACACACTAAATATAACAATCTTTGTCTTTGCTGTGGTCAAATGATTGTCTCATGTGACTGGCCTGGAGGGGTCTTATAGATTGCAGCCTCAGTGTGGCCTGTGGTGGGTTTTAAGATTACCTTCTTAGCAATTTTAAGAACAAATAAATAAGTAATAATCCACTTAAAAGCTTGGTAGTGAAAGTGATTTCTTGTCTGACTTTTATCTCAACTGAACGCATGAGGAAGAGTGACATGGAGTCTCTATAGGAGGTGATGCAGTGGAGCATGTGTTGTGTGGGGAGATGTTAAATTTGAATGCACACCAATGCGTGTGCACTGAAAAAGAAAAGGGAGTCATGACTTGGGACTCTTCATCAGAAGGTGGTAATGACTCCACAGATGTTACACTATGGCAGACTTTGATCTGCAGAGACTGATGTGCATTAGAAGATAGTTAGATATGAGCATAGAATCATAGAATATCCTGAGTTGGGAGGGACCCACAAGAATCATTGTGTCCAACTCACACCAGCAGACTAGAATCTCTCTTGTCTTACCACTACACCATTTCACTGCTTTCAACGGTATTGTTAATATTTTGGGGCAGAATAACAGCTGATGAACGGGTAGTGCAAGAAGCCTGAAGGACCAGCCAATTCAAAGAGATTCAATTCAAACTCCTACATAATTTCTTGGTCCCAGGAGTAGATTTTGTTGTCAGAAGCAAGTAAAAAAGGTGCAGTCCTTGGGGACAGCAGTCGTCAATGCTTGAGGGGAGCAGATGTGAGGCTGGCCACACAAGGGGTAAATAGAATCGCAAGGGGTAAATAGAATCAAAAGGAGTAGAAACAAGATATAAGATTGTGTGAGAATTTTAGCTGTGGTAAAATCTAGACTGGAACTGTCACCAGTATACAAGCCCTAAGTTATTTGCATGCCATGCTGACTGTGAATTGTGTGAAGGGCTGACTGACTTGAATGGGTTAGAGGCAGGGTGGGAGGACACGGGGCTATCAAGTTGAGTGCTCATAATGCTGCTGTGCCACGCTGACTGTTCTCTCCTCCCCCTGCAGGTGAGAAGCCTTACAAGTGCTCGTGGGAAGGGTGCGAGTGGCGTTTTGCACGGAGCGACGAGCTCACGAGGCATTACAGAAAGCACACGGGTGCAAAGCCCTTTAAATGCAACCATTGTGACAGGTAATGCAGCTCCTAACATGGTGTTCAAGAAACCTGTGGACTTCTGTGGCTGGCATGGAGCTGCCAGCTCCCAGAGACAGGAGACCTGGCTCCCAGCAGAGAGGCCCCTTCTGTCCCACTGCCTGGATCCCTGAACCATGGAGGGACCCTCTGCTCAGCTCCTGTCCTCTCTGCCTTAGTGGCCAGGCAGGCTGGCAGATGGGGAATTCTTCCTAAGCAGTCTAATCCCACAGCACAGAACAAAATGTGGGACCAGGTGTAGGCCTGACTGAACCCTGCTGGTGTCTGTTGTGGGCACAGGATTCAGTTCACAGGGCAGGTCTTGTTAATACTCTTAAAGCAGAGAAGACATCCAGAGGGCCTTAGACCATTTCAGTGATGGAGCTCTCCAAAAAGCATCTCCCCAGCTTTCTGTCTCCTGATCCTGTAAGCCTGCTGTGCTCACAAAGGCAAAGCTCCCTCTATTTGCTCTGCTTCAAGGACACCCCAAGCACCACTGGCTACCCACATTTTGGCAGAGTGGGCCTCACAAAAACATTGGTGTATGGCAGGAGGAATGGGGAGTGTGTGGCTGTATGCCACAAGTGGCCCAAATCTATAAGAAACCTGTAGGGAAAAATCAATTCAATTTCTGTATGATTGTTGTCTTCTCAGCACTGAGTCCAGGGCTCCTAAAGAAAAGACAACAAAGGACACCATTCTTAAAAGCCCAAGAGTGATTTAGACATATTTAACCGTTCAAGTTCATAGGGTTGTTTCGTGTAAGATCAATGATCTCTGCACATTCCTGCTAATTAGTGAATCTTTTCCTACAGTTTTAAGTCTCACTCTTGACATCTATTTGAAGTGGGAGATACTCTGCACCTTCATTGAGAGAGGGCCCAGATGTGAAAGCCTGACAGGTGCGCAGGGCCAGGTTCCCGAGGAGCCTGTCAGGAGCAGCAGCGCTCCGGGACTCGGGGATGCGCCGTGAGTGAGCAGCTCCTGCCAGAGCCGCCCTTGCCGCTCTCACCGCGGCTCCTTTCTGCAGCCTCCCTGCTCCAGCTGCTCCAGTAAATACTGAGCTGCTCTGAAAAATCTGCTCGTCCTGGCTTGGTGCTGAGTGTTTTTGAAAGCTGGGTTTTTTCAATTTAGAAACAAAACCAAAAGAACACCCTTCTCCACATCCCCAATCCCAATTGATAAGAAATCAGGGTGGAGCAAAAGCAATTACCCCTGTAATGACTCTTGACAGCACTGACAGGATCGAACAATGAGCACTTCTCCCCCACTCACCCCCCCAGCTGAAGATTGGCAGTGCCCTGGGTGAAACCTGGATCCACTATTGAGTAATCAAATAATGTGCTTGCATCTGAACATGTTATCCAGCTAATCCTATTTATATATATTTTTAAAAGAGGCTTAAGAAAATTACCCATCTTTTTAATGCAGCACTAAGGTTCTCGACTGTGATAAGGAAACGTTTTGTAATACAATAAAGCCTTTAGGAAGCCTGTGGGTACACCAGACCAACAGAGAATATGTGTGGAGAGAGGATGTGTGGGACATAAACAAGGGACCCCATCCTTTTATGGGAAGGAAATTTGATCATTTTCACATCCTGCCTTTCCAAGAGCTTCATCTCCTTAAGTGCTCTTCTGCCCTTGTCTCCCCTCTTCCCGTCCCCCTTCCCCCATGGAGGGCTTCCTCTTGGATTATCTTTTGTTTTATCCCTGGATCATCTTTTGTTTGCTCAGAATGAGGGACAGGATAAGCCAAGTAGGGACCTCTGCAGTTCTGCTTTTGTTTAAGCACTTCTGTGAATGAGAACAATTATATCCTCTGTTTTAAATGTAAAGCATTGCCTTTCTCTTTTCTTTCCTCGAATGGCCCCACGAACACACACACACACACACACACACACACACCTCTAGGGTTTCTGTGTCAGGACAAACAATGTTTTTAGCAGAGATCTAGAGAAATACAGCTGGTATTTTCAACTCCTTGCTCTCTTTCAGCCATTTGTTAAGTGTTCATTATTCTCCCTCCACATATTATCCCTTTCTACCTGGCTTTTCTCTTTGGCAGCAAACTCAGTCACTGCAGTCAAGAGATATATTCCTGTAATCATCTAATGCATTTTTGCTCTTCTGCTGAATCTGTAGATGAAGGGAAAACATTATTAATAAAATTTAGAGTGCTGAGGATTGTGCACTGTTAAACTCTATGCCGGTACTATTTGTGTGTGGTGAAAGGAGGCAGATTTGTCCTTATTCCCCCAGTTAATTGTTAGAAGCTTTTAGAGTGACAGTGCCTGTTCTTTTACCCCACTCTGCCATACCACTGTTTTTCATTCTTTTCTCATTCTCAGGCCTCTTTGCTACCACCTACTGCAGAGGTCACCTCAAGCAAGCACTGAAACATGAGCCCAAAACTGCCTTTAGCCATTTAGGCAGGCTTTTAAAGATGTGCCTTCCTGAGCCAGGGTTCCAGCTGGAGAACAGTTTCTCTGTATTTGAACTGCTACCCTTTATTGCACTCCCCATTATCGACAGAAGCTGTGGCCACTCTCTCAGACATGCTGCCTTGTTAGGTTTTAAGGAGCTGATTGGAGCTGTTTTAACAACACTGATGTAGCACAGATCCTGTGCCTGTTGTTCAGAGCTGAAGGCTGTATCTTGGCAAACAGAGCATGGAAGGGGTGATTCAGATAGCAGAGGGGGATGATGTTCACACAGTCTGGCTGCAGTTCCCTTCCAAGACTGTTTTTTAGATGTGCTTGTGTCTCTCACCTTCCAATCAATGTCAAAGGAGTATTAGTGTCCTCTGTGTACAAGTAAATGTTATAACAAAAGAGATAAGATGAGATTCTCTTCTCCTGCTGTCCCAGCCCTATCCCAACACCATGCAGCCCACAGATCACATTGTTAGTCATAGCTGGCAAACTACCACTGCTTTGAGTAACATCATACGTACTGCAAGTGGTGTGTGGCTTTGTGGCAGCAGGAGAGAAAGGAGAAAAGGCTAAAGTGGTGTGGAAAGCACCCCAGCAAAGTCCTTAGTGCCTTCCGGATGCCAGGGTTATCCTGGTTGTTAGCATTCCCCAGGAATTTTGCTCTTCAGAAACGCAGGCTAGGGTTGTTCCTCACACAGTGCAAGCCCTCAGCACTTCAAGGGGAAGAGTTTGACAGGGAAGTGGCACTTGCTGGTTCTGGATAAATAGGTGTTTAGGAGACAGCAGTTTAGTGCCAGGCTGTTGGGATGCATTTTCCTCTCTGCACATGTGCAAACGTGCTCATGGTTTCCTTGTTGATAGCAAGCTGAGTGTGCACTTAGCTGGAATGAACACATCCCACAGTGGAAAATCCACAGCTGGTAGGAGAGATGGCTGAGCAATATATTCTCTCTTAGTGTACTTACCTTCCCTTTTTCCTCCTTCGGAGGCTTCAGTGCCAAGCAGTATTGTGTTGCTAAGGAGATAGAGCAAAAAGAGAAAGGAAGGAAACATGTCTGGGAGCAGGGAATTTGTGTATCACACATCCCTGTATGAGTTTTATAATTAGAGTGTCTTATTCTAGCATAAACTGTTCTTTCTAGGAAGAGCTAGACTGAGGGGGGGATGACAGAGAAGGCTGTGATGGGCCCACGTGTGATGTGCAGAACTGGTCTGGAACTGAAAGGGGTGTAGAGCCAGAGGTGCAGAGCAAATTCTTGTGCCATGGGCAGGACTAGAGAACAGCAAGCCCCTGTCCCTTGATTTCTGAAGAGTAGTTTCCTTTGACAGCTTATCCTGTGGAGCCTCTTCCACTGCTGCCTCTAGTCCCAGAAAGAAAAAAAAAAAGAAGCGTGTCCAGTAATCAATAGTCTTTCTGACAGTGTGATTTAGCTGCAAAAATTTTCTATGGACTGTTTTACGGTGGAAAATAAATATCCACATCCAGCAGCCTTACCAAGAGATAGAACTAATCAAATTAGTCAGTGGGAGAATGTGAAGAATTAGTATTGTACCACTTTATTAGCTATAAACTAGCAAATATGGCACCATTTTATTACCTATAAAAATATTATGGGTGCTAATATGGTAGTTACTGATGTGAAGCAATGTACTGAATCTATAATTTTAACAGATCTGGCTGTGGTGTGACTCAGCATACACTTTCCTGGGCTGCATCTGTAAAAGAGACAACTGGAGAGGAAAAGCTGTGCTTGGGTGGGGGTCTTATGACTAGTCCTAGACTGAAGTGCCAGCTGGTGCATGTCTTTTTGGCAGCCACTCAAGCTGTTGTTTTGTTTTGGCAGCCCTTGTAGCCAGAGCATGCTGCTTTCTCAGTTTAAGACTGATGAGAGAGACGTTGGTCCAAGGATGTATTTTGTCACTCTAGGGCTAGAAAATTCTAGCTGTGCAGAGCCTGCTGTGGTGAAAGCCCAGTGTCCATGTCAGAGTCACATGTGCCTTGCTGTGCCTCATGTAGGACCCTGGGGGAATGCCTCCTCCATCCTATTTGAAGTCTCATTTTTGCCTTTCTGAAGGTATTAACTCCCTTGTAAGCCCTGCAAGTAGAGAAGAGATGACTTGAGCAGAGCTATGCTCATTGCTCATTCACAGAAGATGAGTAAATGACTTTTCTTGTGGAAGTTGTCTTGTTATAAGGTTTCTTTGTCTTAAACATGTACCTCTTGATCACTCATTTCTGTGTGTAGATGCTGATTGATCACATGTGCAGTGGAAGAGTTCAGCAAGACAGAAAAGGCCCCCTAACTATTTAAAATAGTTTCATTTTTATAGTTCTCTTTGTCAGCCTTTCTCTGCTTAGGGTATTTATCCTTTGGGTGTTTAGATTGACTGTTCTTTTTTTTTCTCTATCATTATTGGCTTTTTGGGGGGGGGGGTTGTTCAGTTTTTTCTTCTGCTTCTTCTTTCTGAAAACTACAAAACACTCAACTACTACTTTTTTAAAAATGCACTTTGTGCCCATATATGAGCTATCTTGGTTCTTACAGTAAGCCATGTGGATATTCTTGAGACCATTATTGGTGGCTGCTTTATACTCTAGTTCTGTGGAGCTCTGAAAGGCATGCCAGGCAAATCAGTTCTGTAAGTAGCTTTTCCTAGTGTTCTTGGAGCCTACAGATCCAGTTTACTCAAAAGCCACAGGTATATGGGGGTTGGTGTGGTATTTGTAGTAAATGTTTTTAAAATAAATAAGTATCTTGTGGCTTAGGGTGGAAAGAAGGTAAGCCAGAATTTGCAGGGAACTTGAAAACCTCCTGATTTTAAATGCTCAGCTGAAGTTTCCAGTAGAAGTTTAATTTCTGAGTGTGTCTGAGTCCTGCCCCTGTGACAGGCTCCATTTTAGAGCTGTGTGGTAGCAGCCAGAACCACTGCCTGCTTCTCCTGTGGTTTGCTGCTGGTGCTGTACATATCTTAAATGGCACTGTGATGGTGGGTGTAATGGATTGGTGCTTTCAATCCCATAGCTAATAGCCATGGAGTCTATCTCATCAGGATCCAGCTACATGTTCAGAATGACAAAACATTAGATTTTATTATGAGATGGAAAAGTCTTTGTGGATAAAGAACAGAAGTTAAAATCTCAAGTCCTGGCTTTCTTTTTTTTTCCCTCTGGTTTTACCACACCTGTGTGATTTACAACTTCCTTGCCTTCTCTGTCTTTCAATTCTCACTCTTATAAAATAGGCATAATATCTTCTGTCAACATCCTTCAGGGAGATAATATTCATCAGAATCAACATATTACCCCCCAGATTCCCAACTGAGAGGAAGGGAGAGATATGAACCCAAATAGATTGTCAGCCTCCAAGCTCTGAGCCAGATTTCCTTCCAGTTTGGAGTTAGAAATGAGAATTCAGCTTTCAAAACTAGCATCATTCTTTGGTGCTTTTTGCAAGGAGTGGGCACTTGAGAAAGCTGGTATTTTTAAAAATGGCGTTGCTGAATGAAAGTGATTTGTTTTATTTATTTTTAATATGCAAACACCTGCATACTAAATATTTGGTTTTATAGTACAGCTGCATAGATGAGCACTCTTCCCTGATATCTGACTCAGTGAAAGAAGTGAGAGGGAGAGGAACAGGGAAGGTATAAAAGTCATCTCTTTAAGTGCTGAAGAGCCAGGGTAGCTGCCTATCTGTGGTCACAGAGGTCGATCACACAGGCTTTGGTGGGGATCCATGGATAGCTCAAGGAATGTCTCTAAACTGGGATATGTATTTTCTCCTGTACATAACAAGGAAGGAGCAGAAACCCTCTTTTCCAAAGTCCTGTACTTATTTTATTTCCTGCTTGCTTTATGTTGCAGGTGTTTTTCCAGGTCGGATCACCTCGCCCTCCACATGAAGAGACACATCTAAATATCAGCCAGCTTGGCATGGATGTCATCTGGGCTAAGTGTTGTGAGATGAAAGTGGAACTCAAGTTACAACGTGCTACCTTACAGGAGAAGAGACCTTGATCCCCTGTAACCCTCTGTACAGGGACCACATGCTCACAGTGTCATGCTCCAGTTACACTTCAGTACCTTCATCGGTTCTTTTATGCCTTGCCCCAGCTGGATGGGAGAAGATGCAGGCGAGGAAATGGTGTAGAGGTGAAGTCAGTGAAAAAGAACAATTACTTACAGTACTTCATCCCTCTTGGATTTGTTTCCTGTTTTTGCCAGTGGAAATCAAAGAAAACAGAGGAGGCTTCCCTGCAGGTGGACGGCAGTAAGAGGGGCTTATCTAACTTGCTTCTCAGTGCAACTCAGTAGAAGAATATGTCGTCTTGAAGTTGCATATTTGTAGCACTAACTTTCTTTTTAAATAGATGGGGGGAAAACAATGACCTAGAAAACCAAATCCCAGTTTGGTAGCCAAAATTAACCTCTTGGTTTTTTTGTTCTTTCTCTGAGAATTCCTAATTTTCAGTGCATCAGACTTCTCACAGACACTTTGACCTGTCTTGGTTTCGGTTCTTCTTCCCAGAACTGAGCTTTTGAGATTCTTTTAAGTCAATACCAGTGGCCTTAATGGCAGTAGACTGTGGAGTGACACTTGTGACACAAACATCCTCTTTTTGGCCTGAGTTTATGTAGACTTCATGGAGGATTATATTTTTGTTGGTTGTTTTTATTTTTTTTTTTTTTGCAATTGCACAACATATGCACTAGGGACTCTGGAAGCTGCTGCCATGATGGCTAAGTAGCCAAGGGATAAACCCCTGAGATACAGCACCTAATATCTCGGTAAGCCTCACCTTATTGCCATAGCTAGGACTTCTTGTTTATTTTTTGAACAAAAAACTTTAAAAGCTTGTTTGGAAGCTTAAACCTTTTTTCTCTTTTCTCCGCAAACAAGTGATCTTCAGAACTCCTTGTCTTCACCTGGATATCAGTCTGGGACTGGCCACACAGGCATGACTACAGGATTCCTTCCACATTATGTGAGCAGATTAGCCACAACCCACGATGATTTAGTGGTGAATTATGTTGCTTTTTCTTGCAGTTCTTCTATTAACCAATTTAAAACATTAGCCTTTTGTTTCTGTAAAGAGCACCTGCAGACGTTTTAATTTAAATCTGTTTGTTGAGCCTCTTACACACAAAAAACAACCCCCAAGCCAAAAATCCTACTCCAATCTCTGAGTAGGAAATCAAGAACCTCTTCCAAGTACAATGGCTTCATTCAGCGTTAGCCTGTTAAAGAAAATATCAAAGTCCTGCTTTTCTGTTCATCAAGTTGATGCTGTAGCCCACTCCTATATGAAAAAATGTAACCATGTGAGCGGTGAAGGAAGGGATTGGATTTTACATACAGCAGTGAGGCATTTCCAAATGATTGGTCCAAAGTATTACTAACCTAGAGGTCCATTTTGGCCTACGGTGTGAATCATCAAGGAGAAGTGGAGGTCTCATGCTCACCCTTCCGTCATATTGATAATTTGATTTCTTTGGCTCAAAGTGGATTAAAGTCTTCATTACAAAAGGAAAAAAAAAACCTTAAAAAATGTATTGCCATAACTTGTATTTGAACCTATTTGGCACTGGCCCTGACTCCAAAGACTGCATTTAGGACCATGAAAATGGCCTATGCAAGCAGGCAGGCGGTCATTAGGTTGTATATTTTGTATATTCTCGGACCATCCCTACAAGATGTGTCTAGAAATGAAACAAAATAGCGCGTGGTCCACAAATGGTTGCTGCTCTTTTATAATGTATTAGCCAACTGCCCTTCTTTGACTGTTTTGACTCATTGACTGTTAAATATTTCCCTTAATTTATGTTTTGGGAGGTAAAATTGTACTCTAAGGGGAAAAAAGAGCAAACAAGAAACTCAATAGATGTTTTTAAGAGCCGTCACCGGGATCCTTGGCACTTGAATTCTCAGCATTTTGCAACCTTTGGTTCCAGTGAGAGATTGAATTTATTCAAAAGATGCTGGTTTTCCTCACAGTTTTCACAAAACACTGTGACTGTCAACTGAACACTTTGGGGACAGGGGGGAAATACGATGTCTGGCCCATATGGCATGAAATATGGACCAAAATCTAACCATCTTTTAGGGGCAATGATGTAATATTCATGATAAGAGCATGAGAGAGAGTGAAAGAAAGTCAGACAGAAAGAGAGAGAAGAAAAAATTGAATTTATTCCAAAGATTTAAAACTAACTATACTCTATATGTGTATATATATATGCTTATATATATATATATATGTATACATTTAAAAATTGCAGAGCACTGCTTGCTGACAATCTCGTATTTCTCTACTTCTGTATTTGCATACTTCTTATGGCCATTCCACCCAGCTGTTCCACTGGGACTGAGGGCCCTAGAATCCAATTTGTGTTGGAACAAATAGAGCATCCTGCCAGATCACAGAATCACAGAGTGTCCTGAGTTGTAAGGGACCCACAAGGATCATCAAGTCCAACTTCTGGCCCTGCGCAGGACATCCCAAGAATCCCACCATGTGCCTGAGAGTGTTGTCCAAATGCTCCTTGAGCTCTGGCTGGCTTGGGGCTGTGGCCACTTACCTGGGGAACCTTTTCTGGTGTCTGACCACCTTCTGGGTGAAGAACTTTTTCCTAATGTCCAGCCTGAACCTCCCCTGACACAGCTTCATCTCATTCCCTTGGATCCTGTCACTGGTCACCAGAGAGCAGAGATTGGTGCTGCCCCTCTGCTGCCCCTCAGGAAGATGTCTAATGGGAACTGAAACCTCAGCTGTGTGAAACTGTAGAGCATCCAGTGAGTGCATTAGATAAAAAAAAGTATAAGAGAATCCTAGAATTTCTTTACCATAATGTCCTAAAATTTATGCTCTCAAATTCTCCACTAGGATATTCATTGGCTGTGAACCTGCATAAATATCCTCCTTTGCTCTCTGAACACACCTGCCTTTAGGCATGCTATCAGTAGTATCCAAACTTAATAATTAAGTGATGGTTTAAGCACCAGGCTCTATTTAAATTGGAAAAAGTCAAGCAAGACTGTTTTTTAGTTCCAGTTGTCATTTACAGTCTCGTTGTCATCTTATTTAAATATACCAGAACAAGGGCCCCAAGGGATAAAAATGGTGAAATATATCTTTACTTTGTTCAAAAGGCAGGCCTACATCTAAATCCTGGATCCAAATAGCCTAAAAAACATAGAAAAAAGGGGTGTAAAAGACAGATTCCAAATTTCTCAGGCTTTGTAGCAGGTCTTCAACTCTGAAGCCAAAATGTGAGCTTTGAAACCACCTCTTATGTTTGAAAAGGGTGATATTTTTCAGCTGTATATATGGTGTACCCAGTCAATCTCTTGACTTTAGTTTTTGGGTGCTCATATGCAAGTGTTGTAGTAATTATTAAAATTCTGAACCATAACTTTGGTATTTTATAGAAGGAGTCTCCATTTTGGAAAGGCATAAAGAATGACACATTCCAGGACTGGTTTTTTTGCAATGACAAGTTTTGTTTCTTTGCGGATATTTTAAGCTGTACACTTCAAACTTGTGTAGTCTGTCATAGTTAGTTCCTTTTTGGGCCTGTGTCTCCTTGCTAAAGTTGTACAGTTGTTCTCTCTCTGTAAATTATGAGTAGAATCAGACTAAAGAGGAAAGGTTCTGTGTAAGGCTTCTTGAAAGCAAACCCATAAATTTGGTGACAATTGAGGACAGTTATCCAGCTGTAGAAAGGAGAAGTTTTACCTTGTTTCCTTCAATGTGAGATTTATGCCTATTTGCAAAAGAGGAGCCATTATAAGAAAATCAGATAGTGGTTTCCAAGGTTATGGAACTATAGGATGAAAACAGATTGACCTAAAAGTCTCCCAAAATAGTGTACACGGAGGAAGCAACTAAAATAAATGTGAGGTTTTGTGATTAGCTAACTAATATTTTGGATCAGAACAGTCAATCATAGTATCCTGCATGTGGAAAGGGGCCTCCAGAGGCCATCTTAGCCAACCTCCAACTTGAGCTGGTTGCTCATGACTGTATTCAGCTGAGTTTTAAATATCCTCAAGAATGGAAATTCTGCAATCTGTCTGTCCAAGCTGTTCCAATATTTAACCACTTTCATGGTTAAAAAAAAAAAATAAATTCCAAAAATCTGTGTGTCAAGTAGGAATTTTTCATGTTCAAACCTGTTTTCAGGCCTCTTCCACTGTGCACCTCCAAGAAGAGTCTGGCTTCTTCTCTACAGTCTTGGTTAGGTATTTGGAGATAGCAATAAGATCCACACTTACCCTTCTCTTCCTAAGGCTGCATCATGTCTCAGCCTCTCTTCATCCATCATGTGTTCCACTGCCTCCATGGTGAGTCTTTGCTAGATTGCTCCCATATGTCAATCATTTTCATGACTGGGGAGACCAAGACAGAATATTCCAGGCCAAGATATGCTTTGTATGTGACAGTGTTGATAAAATATATTTATTCTGGATTTTTCCATTATCTGAGACAACTTAAAGTCAAGATTCTATTTTGAAAACTGACCAATAAAAATAATTTAGGAAGCACTCTTATAATTAGTTTCCTAATCAAATTTGCCAAATCTGTGCATAAACATATGCTTATAAAAATAGACTTATGTACCACCAGCTTGAGCCCTGGCTAGCAAGATTCGGTTTTTCTCAACATGATCATTGATGGTTCACTTTGAACTAAAAAATATATTGTTCCATTTGTAGTGTATCAAATATGAAGACACATGATGCTGTATTTTAGTCACTTCTTACACTAAAACTGCACTTCAGTGCATCTTTGTTTGGTTTTCCCTTTAGGAGATAAAGAGCAACATAAAATATCAGATATATTTTATAGATATTGGTCTAAAAGTGGATGGCAGAATCCAGAGTATTTTTCATTATCTCTGAGTTGTTCTTTTTCAGTAGCTAGTACTCAGTCTAGACAATTACATTACCTGGCTAAACTAGCAACTGAAGTGAAATTCTAGATTCTTTCAGTGTCTTGGACGAGGCAGTCTGATCTCACTAAACAAAGGGTTAAATGTTGGATTTGGTGACCTCCAGAAGTACCTTCCAATATTATTTTTTCTGTATTTCTATGATTTGTTTCACAGCTTTTACTTATTAAATGTTTTCTGGTTCTATTTCTTCATAGTCTTGTGCTGATGAAACAGACTGTAGGGCAGATCTCTAGGTTTTTTCTTGAATTCTAAGAGTTTCATCCTTGTTAAACTTTATAAAGTTTCTTCATGAGGGAGACCTAGAGAGGAAGAAATCTTAAAAGAACCCAAATCCTCAGCAAACCAGTTTGGAGCAATATCCTACCTTGATATGTGTCACAGCCCGATATTATGGAAACAAGTTTGCTAGACTGGAAGACACATGTGATGTCTCAGAAATGGTTTCCAGGACCTGAAATCTAAGCCAACATATTTCTACAAGGGTGAACATTTTTTTTTTTTTCATTCATTCTTATTTTCCTCACAGAGAAGAAGAATCTGAATGCAAGAGGATCCCTCAGTCCTTGCTTTCAGAATTGTTTTAACTTCAGGCATAAAGAAGTTACTAATCACCAGGGTGTGTAGCTAAAATGGAGTTGATCAATATGATTGTTGCAGTGACTGAGTATATCTTAGTTGTGACCTTTCTGATATCTACAGAATCAGGCTTTCTCCCTCATTTTTATCTGACCCTAGACAGTTTGGGGTTTGTATCTAATATAAAGGTTGCTCCTCTATTTAACACACTATTTGTCTGTATACAAAAGAGGTGGTAATTGGTACTTTTGGCAAAGCTGATGAAGTCAAACTTCATTGTTTCCCTTCCTCTTCTCGTAATGTATGTCAAAATCTTTAGATTAAAAAATAAAGAGGAAAATGTTGTAAATAATTTAATGTTACAAGGCCAGCACTCAGTGGGTCAAGGGCTTTTACTCTTGATTTCATTCAGGACTTGGCACATTCTGTCATTCCATCCAGTGAGACTGTTTTTGAGCTTTCATATCCTGGGCAATGCTCTAACCCAGAACTTCTAAACTACTTTTTGCTGATTTCATATAGAATTGCACTTGTAAAGATATTTACATACCAAGAAAGAAAAACAATGCTTGACAGTAACTATTTAACTTTGTCTTGAAAAAACAGAAATATTTTTCTCCCAACATTGACAAGTCTTGCCTGTCTTTCATTAGCATTTAAACTACACTTTAATGAATGATCTTTTCCAGATCAAGCTTGGATATTTTTCTTCCTTTTGTCACACTTGAGTCTCTTTTTATTAATAGTTTAGGGATGACTACTGCAGTCTTTCTCTTCCACAGCTCTGCACAGGCTTCAGTGGCAAGATTTAGCATTGTGAGGACTGTAGGATCTGGCCTACCAGGTACTAAGATCTGTGTTGTAAAGCTGAGAATTTCCTCCTCCCTTAGAGTCCTCCCTTAGAGGAAGAAGTCTTGAGAATACTTGTGCTATATAAGTTATATATATAATGGTATAGTTGTATATATAAATTATATGCATAAAAATGTTGAGATGGGGAGTAGACTGCCTTTATCACCTCAAGAATGAGTTTCCCTACCTGAAAACTTTCAAATGCAGACATCATTTTAGAAACAGGGTTTTATAGTTTTCCTTAATGCTTGTTGATGGCATTTTTGGTGTAATAATTGAAGTTGGAATCTGTGATTTTCAAAATGAAAGCTTTGATTACCTTTTATTTTTAAGTGCTTTGGTCCTAACTTCTGTATACTGCCAGAAAACAGGTTCTCCACCCTGTCTCTGTGTGGGTGTGGATGTACAACAGTACACTGTATATACCTACACAGAAGAGCAAACTGAGCTACTGACTTACAGTTTGTAGTAGCCAACTGTGCCTATTGCTTTCATTTAAGGAGGGCACTTGCTGTTGCCACTGCATTTTAGGAATCATGTCAGCTTCTGTAGGAAAGTTTTCAACAGTGCTGGGAAATACATGTTGCTGTGTACTGTGAATGAGTAGGCTGCAAATTTGGGGATTGGGAGGGGAGGTGGGAAGGGAGGGGGATGAGGGCTTCGCATGTACACACTAAAGGGAACTAGAATGGACAGAAACATGGGAATTTTAGCCTTTATTGTTGGGCTCTTGGGGAAATGAAAAGCTAACATGCAGTCCCTGGAAGGCCTGAATGGCTGAAGGGCTGATCTTTATGTTTTGCAACATATGTTTTACCCATCACTCTGTATTTAAATCCCCAGACCTGTCAGATTCTGGAAGTAGATCAAAACACTGGTTTCAACACTACTTTGTTACCAAGGCCGTGTCTCTACCAGGGAAGCTGTCCTATATTAACGTCAGTCTAGCTAAATCACTTTGTAGCTGCACCTGTTATGTGATTGCCTGGATCAAGTTTGCATTGGCATCCTATGCAGTTAAGCTGAAGTGTGAGAAATGCTTCAACTAATTAAGATACCTCTACAGGAAGGTTCTTGCACCAGTTTAAGTACCTGGTTTTGAAATCACTGCATATAGACCATAAGAGCTTTTCTCTTAGAAACAAGGCCTTAGTTTGGCATGTCTGCTCATCTAGTTGAAAAAATAATAATGCAGGCTGAGATTTTTTTTTTCTTTTCAAAGTAACCTGTTTTCCCTTTTGTTCTTTGAAACTTTTCTTACTCTCTACCACACATTAGGTTTTTGTTTGGGGAAATTTTGTTTAACAACAAAAACAACAAAATGTATGAATGCTCCCTATTAAAAAAAAAAAAACCAAAAAAAAACAAAAACAAAAAAACAAACAACATTGCTTGAAGGACTTTCATTTTGCACTATAATTTTTCTTTTACCAGATGTGTCTGACAAGTGCATTTCGGAGATGCCCTCGGTCACGTTCTCTCAGGCCTACTCTGGTATTTCTAATATATCACAGAAGTACCCAATCTTGTAGCCCTCAGTTCTGCCTTTTTTTGACATTTTATTTTTTTTAAGCTTTTTATATATATATATATATATATAAATATATTACTTTGTCAGTTTTTTTGCTGTACAAAAAGTCTTAAGATTTAAAAATATTATTTGTATTATATGATGGTGGTATGTTAATGTTACAAAATTATTAATGAAGAAAAAATTTATTTTTGTTACTGGTCTGTTTCATAATTCTTTTTTAAATTGGTATATTGTAAGATATCTATGCAAAAATGTTATGTGACGCATTTTTATTTAAGAATGTAATATGTGTAATAAACTGTAGAATGTGTTTGGCCCAACAGTGTTTAGTGTGCCTTGTACATTATTTCTTTATGAAAACTTCTGTGAAGAGTGAAAATGGCTTTTGGAATTAAGGCTATGGTCCTGTAAAGAGTTATTGACATAAAAATACAACTTCTAAGTGTGCTTTAGCCCATCAGAATGATATTTCTGGATTTAAGTAATTTATTTTTAATGTATTTTGTAACAGTTCCAGTGTTGCTTATATTCATGATGTTTCACATGTTGCTTTTGGAATAGGTGCTCAGGAAGGAAGTTCTTGTTCTTAAAAGCTGACTGAATTTGGCTTGTAATCCTGCTTCTTTTGGAGTTAGTGATTTCTGTTATTTGATAGTTTACATTTGTTGAAGATTTCAGCCAGTATTATTTTTGTAAAAGACACAGAGAACAGTTGTGTTTTATTTTCCATGCTTAGCATTATAACATATGTCAGTCAGTGGTCAAAACAGGTCTAGACTGTGAGGCTCCTGAGAGCTTGTGCTGCGCTCTGCTCCGCATGTCAGGCTGTCTCCCAGGAGTGCAGCGCTGTTCTCTTGCCCCGCCTCAGTCATTTACTGTCCCTCGTTAATGTCTGCACAATTGCAAGCACAATTGAATCCACCTGGATGCTCAAGTACTAAAAACATATTTAGGCAGTAAAACCAGTTATTTTGAGCACAATTACTTCACAGTGTCATGACATAAAATGAAATTGCTTTTTCAAGACAGGCCAATATGCCTTTAGGTTTTTGCTGCCTTGTGCCCACACGCTGCAGCAGTGTCAGTGGGCATTGCAGCAGGACATTCTGTAGGGCCCATCTGATGCCAGCTGGCTGAGTTTCCTTTCTGGGACAACATGCCCCACTTGCCCTGTTGGGGATCCTGCTAGGATTGTTTATGTCAGACAT